CATCGCATTTGAAATAAGCTGAGGCGTTGATGGCTGAATGGTTGATTCAATTACTTAGGTGTATAATATGCTACAGACTGATGCTGGCAGGTGTATAATATGCTACAGACTGATGCTGGCAGGTAGTAAATAGTAAATTACGAATCGGATAGACCTCGACTACTTTTCCTTTTTTTTTTTTTGGAATGCTTTCATGTACAAACAATTGTCGAGGAGTGTTGACTCTTGAGCTGGTATAACAAAGCCCAGCTGTCGAAAGCGAATACGGGGCTTGATGACACGAAATGGGATTCGACCCCTGGGCACACACAGACCCTGCACCTCACCCCGCTGCCGGGCAGCCCGGTTGAGCTGCGCCGTGCTCGGTGGCTTGCATAGGTAGGTAGGTACATAGGTAATAATGACAATTCACATAAAGAAATCCACCCTGCTCACAATCATTTAGATGAGGAGTAATTGTATATTCTGGTTTGTCTACCTACTTTGAATAATACGAGTCCATCAACATGAGTTCTGACGGCATAGTCGAATCTTACCAGATCGCCGTGCCGGATGAGGCAATCGAGAAGCTAAAGAAGAAGCTTGAGTTGGCGACGTTCCCAAAGGAGACTAGCTTTTCCAACGATTGGAATTATGGCGCGCCACTTGATGACATCAAGAGGCTTGCGACAACCTGGAGGGAGACTTACGACTGGAAACGTGCAGAGATCGAATTGAATGAAAAACTCCCGCAATTCACAACGAGGATCGGTGTGGAGGGGCATGAGGATGATTTGAAAGTTCACTTTGTGCATAAGAAGAGCGAGAAGCCCGGCGCGATCCCGCTGTTATTTTGCCACGGGTGTGAGTTTATGTTTTGCGTAGATGATTAATGGATAACGGTCGGCTAAAAAAAGAGAGAAAAAGGGCCCGGGAGCTTTATCGAAGTCTCCAAGATACTTCCCCTCCTCACTACCAGTGATAAGGATGACGAACCAACGTTCCACGTTGTAGCCCCCTCGCTCCTAAATTACGGGTTCTCGCAGGGAACCTCCAAACCTGGGTTTGGAATTTTCCAGCAAGCAAAGGCGTGTCACAAGCTCATGTTGCGGTTGGGCTATACCAAGTACGCTACGCAGGGTGGTGACTGGGGATATATGGTAAAGAAAATTTTTTATATTATTTATCAGATTTTAATTCTCACTTTGAAATGATTATTAATTGTTTTTAGATCACTAGGGCTTTGGGAAGACAGTACCCGGCGCACGTCATCGGATCGCACCTCAATCTCATCATCACGCGACCTCCGAGCCTCTTATCTTCTCCTCTGCTGTGCCTGCAATATGCGCTGGGGTGGTATTCCGCCCACGAGAAGCTCGGCTTCGAGCGCTCGAGGTGGTTCCGTGCCGAAGGGGACGGGTACAGCCGCATCCAAGGGACCAAGCCACACACGCCCGGTTTCGCACTGGCAGATAGTCCGGTTGGGCTGTTGGCGTGGATTTACGAAAAACTTTGGGGGTGGACGGATTCGTACGGGTGGACCGACGAAGAGGTCCTTACATGGATCAGCATATACGCATTCAGCTCAGCAGGCGCGGACGCGAGCGTGCGGTTGTACTATGAGATGATTCATAGCAGCAAGGACATGGATGCGATATTGAAATGGAATGGAAAAGTGCCGTTGGGGTTGTCGTATTTCCCGAAAGACGTGGTCGTGCTGCCGAGTTCGTGGGGCAAGACTTGTGCGTACCCCCTTTTTTTCTTTCCCCTTTTCTTCAACGTGCTTTTCTTGCAACTTATCTATCTCCTACACGAAGTGGTACTAGCTGATTTCGATGGTTGTTAGTGGGACCGGTAGTATATGAGAAGCGACACGAGGCAGGGGGACACTTCGCCGCTTTTGAGAAGCCGGAAGATCTAGTTCACGATATCAAGACATTTGTAAAGCGAGGTGGGCTCGGAGCGAAGCTCCTTTGAATTATCGATGATTGATACAAATGACTCTAACGGACTCGATAAGCTTAACAATTATCTACATATCTACCTATCTACTCATTGACATATCTGGTCAGCAAATATCGCATACAGCAAGCCCGGTGCCTCTCTACTCCTGCCTCATCTACTAAGCTACATATTCTCTGCCTAACATCAACTCTTCCTTGTTCCTCTGTACTTCGATGACCCCTTCCAGAAATTTTTGCGGGAGGTCCTGTATTTTCTTGTCGCGGTTCATGAGGATGAAATGGGATGTTTTGAGATAGCTTCTGACGAACTGGTTCCAGATTCTTTTCGCTAGCCGATCCTTCTGAAGAGGCCTTGGGAAATATGGGTCATTGACCTTGAACGCGTCTACCATTTGGTCAATACCTTTCTGATCTAACGTAACCGATCGAACTTGGTTGAAATCCAGTAGCCATAGCTGTGTTGTCCTGCGGAAGAAATCCTCATGATGTCGCGACAAGGGTCCTGTATAGGAAGCGGGCTCCATCTTCATAATCTCGGCATAGCTCTTGGGGGAGATTGGTATAATTTGGGAGGAGCTTCCCAAAGCAAATTCAACATCTCTTGCGTCGGTCTCTGCGGCCCATTGCATTGTAGCTAGTGCCTCAGCCATTTGATGTGATAATGCGTCGACGCCCAATTCTAACTCGGCGAGCTGGTTCAGATGTAGTTTCAAATTTCTCAGAGAAAAGAATCGACCCCTGCTTTTTCCTTTTTGAGAGCCAAGATAGACTCTCACCAGACAATCCCGATTTGCTGGATCAGCTAATGCATCGGATCTGTGATGTGGGACGCAGTATTTCTCTATCAAAAGCATTCTCGTGATCTTCGGTAAAGGCACAATTCGTTCAGCGACCAGGATATCCGTGGGGAGATGACAGGTATCTCGAGCAGTCTCACACAAGTTCAGGTGTTTCTCGAAGTACTCTTGATCGTCTTTTGGCACGAAGAAGTACGGTCGTGGTATCTGGACCTCGACATTGAAAGCTTGGGCTTTCTCGAAGATAAGCGTATGCATAGTGTAGTCATTCCATAAGTCCTTGTTATGGGCCTTAGCGAGCTTTGTTACTAGAGCTTCACCGTCTTCGGCAAATATAGCACCGCATGCCCCGGCGCCGATTTTGATAAAGGAACTGTTGCTTCCGATCTCTTCAGCCGCTTGTTGTTTTCCTTGCAAAAATGATAAAGAGGCCGATACTGCGCTGTGACGGGAGAGCAGGTGACCTAAACGTTGTTCAATATCTCCTAACGGTTGGGTTTCTGTACTGTGCTCTTCCTCATGGGGGTCGAGCGGACTGAAAAGCTTCGTATTGATATCGAGACAATTAGGTCTATTATGGGGTGTCGCTGAAGGCATTCTTGCTGGGTGACCCCTATTCTAGTTTATCGGGAGCCGGTATTGTAGGAGGAATAGCTGATCGTAAGATATCCTTTGCCGGCTGACACTAGGTAGAGTGGAGCAAATACAATAATATAATGCTATATTGTATTAGGTGATAGAAGTTAAGAGCTCCTCGCACCTTATACTCTTACACAGTAGTGGTGAGTCGTGATATGACGATCCTGCGAATTGTTGGGATGGGTTTCTTAGGTACCTAATATGTTTACGTCGAATGAATTGTTTACGTCAAAACGAATTTAAGGGGAAGGGAGAGAAGTGTTATAAGAGGTAGTTTCTTGATTAAAAAATAAACTTAGGCCCCAGACAACCTTCTCATGGATTACTTGATATGTGTCTAGTACTTACCTAAAGTTAATGCTTCAAGGTTAATGTTTGAGTTAATTCCATTAAACTATTAAGTAACACTGGCTTATGGCGCCACAAGCCAGTGCTAGTATTGAGGTTATTTACCCAGTACTTCCCTGCCACAATTAACTCACTTATAGAGGGAAGCAAATGAATTAAATACTTACCTATGCACCCCGGACCAAGTTAAATCCACTGAAAGTATTGGGCATACCTGATTACTTTTCAATATATAGCAGCGCGGAACCCGCGCTGTAAGGACTAAGGCTCGGAGAGCCCTTAAGCGGGGACCTAGTAATAAAACAGTATATACCTAAGTAAGTATATAAAGGGCTTCGCCCCTTATATCCTAGGAGAGTCAAGCGTTAATAGATCACCTTTGCACCTGCTACTTAGCAGCGTTACCACTTCGTCCTAACATTTATTTTACGTATAACAACCATTCAGGGGCCTTTTTAACAGCGATTTAATTTAACGACTAATTTAACGATTAATTGCTTACTTAACTAATTAATAATTAATTTAATAGCTAGTTTATTAGTTAATAAATTAAAGGTTAATTAAAAAAACAGGTGAATAATTGGAAGTTAAATACCTACCTAGGTAACTAGTTCAAAAAAAAGTCCGCTAAATGGAGGATAATTTCAATGAACTTTAGCGCTATAAGCCTTATAGATTACATCGCCCCTCTACTTAAAAGAGTCATCGTCCATGGGTGCGTAAAAAGATGTGTCCGGTAAGCAAGTTTCAGCTTCCCCCTTTTTTCTCCCCCTTTTCTTTGAAATGCCATGTTAAGCAACAATGCCTCAGGTATATCACCACGCTAACTATGATAACACCCATTACAAATCGAGCATACACTTTCGTTAAGATTAAAAGTGTTGAATTATACATAGGTAGTTTGCTGTAATTGTTTACCTAGGTATCGCCGACTTCCATTACGCCTTAATTTAAGCCCGCGCAAATCTTATCATTGTTGTTTCGCCGCGGTATTTTCCCACCTGGCATACCGAATCATTTTTATAAGCTTTGGGAGGGTTTAAAAAGCAATGTACTAAGTGTACCCCAATAATTATTTTAGTAGGAGTGGATACTATTTGTGATTTAAGTATGTGGAGTCTTTCTTAAAATAATAAATAAAAAAAAACTTCTACCCTCAGCCTGCTTGCTAATTGCCACAAGTAGCCAGTCCCGAAAAAGTGATATAAAAGCACACCCCAATACTCGATGCGCTGCACAAAAGACTTGGACTTCTTTATAAACTAAAAAGACATGCCCCCACACCGGATTGAACGATGGACCTCAGCATAAACCTGTAAGTGGGAAATACAAGTGCTGCGCTCTACCACTGAGCTATAAGGGCATAAAATATACTGAGATGAGAGCTGCAGGATTCGAACCTGCGCGGTTTCCCATTGCGGGTCAAATGTTCCATGGACTTCGTGAAGAACGAATGGAAATCCTAAACACAACGCCTTAACCACTCGGCCAAACTCCCATTGGAGAATTCCAAGTTGCTGTGGATTCTGCTTGGTCCGCTCACTGGTATCATTCTATATAAGCAAGGACCCTCCAAAGAGACTAAGAATTCATTCGTCAACATATGTTCATCATTAATTACTTCGCATACTTTATATTGTTACGGTAAAGACAAGGGCCGTATCTTAATAACGTGTCAATACATTATATTATAATGGAACGTTCTTATCGATATAGTTAAATTTTAATTCCTTTTAGAAATCGAATAATATCAGGGTAGGAATTGAAAGATGTTTAGCTCGTTATAACTTTCTATTATATTTCTTAAGAGTTGCTACTACCGCGCCTGGGTTGATCATTGTACTTTTCGCTGCTTTATCTCATTAAGATTAAGACATTTCCTGGATTATCAAAAATACGAAGAGACGACCTGCCGGGTGCGATTTCGACATATTTATAGGCCGATATATAAACGAGCAAAAGCTATCTAGGTGAGCCAAGCGATGGTCTTTCTTCATTCAAACAGGAGATGTTGGATAGCCAAAATAGGTAGGCTATCGCTAAAGTCTGTTGAAGATGGGTAGGAAAGGAAAGATTACCTATGAAAATTTCAAACGAGTGTATATCGATGCACAGTCCGACTTTTATGGAGGTGTTTTGCCTTGACCTACCTATCACCGTGATGAGCTATCTCCATACTACTTGGATTTAACATCAGTGTCTGAATGTAACGAGCCTGGAGCTTCAATTTCTGAACTTACTTTACTTCCCGTTCATTCGGGACTTTAACCATAGAAGTGTCGACAGCGCCCCAACATCCTTTGTGGTACCCCCTTCTTTCAGCCACCACGAAATGGCTTTATTGTACTCAGAGGGTCGAAACTCAGCCAGAACCATATACACTGGCTGAACCCTCGTCTTAGCCGATGACTTGTCCCCGTTCACCTCACTCGCCCACTTTTTATCACCCAGTGTCATCACATCGAAAAAGGTGTTCGCAAGCCCCGTCATCATTTCCTTAGTGACCCCATAACCCCCATGTACGTATGCTCGATACATGCCTAACACATCGGCGCCCGCATGACCTGTATTTTCGATATGCTTGAGAGGAGTCTCGGATCCGTACGCCCACTCGTATACTTGGGTGCCTTTCTTGCTTTTCTTAGTCACGACACCCCCAGGTCCACGAAAGAACCAGTTTATGCTAGCCTTGATGAGGCTGTCATACTTGTTCACCAGCAACTTGTTAGTCCCTAAAAGACGGTATGCATCGGCAAGGTTCTGGAAGGCTTCGTTGAACATCATCTGCTGATTCCACGGAACAGCACGATGTTTCGGGGTCGTGGTCCCAGGCTCGGCGTTATAATACATGCGCTCATGGTCTGACACGTCGAGCTGGCTCTTCAGTATGTGCTGATCGACCGTGAACTGTGCCTCCTTGAGGTACTTGTCTGCGCGTTCCCAGTACGTCTTGCCATATCCATGCGGGTTCTTGTCCGGGATGGTCTTGTTATGCAGAGATGTGCTTTTCACCATCAAATACCCGCAGTACGCGAGATTGCCGACACACTCACCCTGCTCGCCCTGCGTCTGCACGCCGGTAGTGAGATTGTTAGGCCAGACAGGATCCACACGACCTGTCCAGATTTCATACCCTCCTACTGGGGGTTTGGCGAGGTCATTGCGCTCGGAAAGAAGTGCGTCGCAGAAGCGGATCATCGTGTCAAGTGTCGATACATTGCTTTCCTTGCTGACGTCGTACACAAGGCCCATGGCACGAAGAGAAGAACCACTATCCTTATAGGCCCATTCCTAGGAATACATCAGCGCTTTAAGGACAGATACTTCCCCAGTCGTCTTCGAGCTCGACTTACGTTGCCCTTGTTGCTAGCACCAGGAGTGAGATGGGATACAAACTCGGAAAACGAGTTGGTCTCGTCGGGCGTGATGGGTCCATTAAAGGAACCGACCTGCATGGTGGGTTTGGATTTAGATTCCGAAGATGCGAGAGACAACGGGCTCAAGGCGAGAAATGTTCCCATATAAGGAAGAAGGGCAAACTTGAGGACCATGATGGACAATTTCTATGGTTTATATTCACGCCTGAGATGCTATCGAGATATCGTAATTGATGTTCTAGGATAACAGAAACAGAATGACCGGCGGCTCTCGAGGGCTTTTATATATTAGTTATATGTTAGTTCTCATCTTTGAATTGGACTCCATCTTCGTATGTTCTCCTCGGATTGAAAGCTTTTAGTTAGGCCAGATTGATTCAACCCATGAAGTTATATCCATAGTTTCCGATAATTTCCTCTCAAGGGGCCATGCGGCTATTGTCTCTCGCTTTCGTCCTTATACAGGAATATTGGTATGATCTACGTAAGCATTGAGTCCAACTCGGGCATTGTTACTCGTGTTTTTCTTGCTAGGTCAGCCATTTTAATGCGCTAACGGCGAGCTGAAGTCATTGCCCGACGTTGCAGCACACATTGAGAAGGCAAATAATGAAGCATCGGAGGGAATCTAATTATGATTAGTGTCGGGAGCCTGAGTCGTTGAAGGTTTCGGAACCGGTTAGAAATCTCATCGTAATATAAAGATGGTAATCGGAAGTGAGGAGTAATGAAGCGGATTGATCGTATCTAGGTCCTTGCGTCAACGATATTTACGGTTTGCCTTCCAAGGTCGGCGGTGGTAGTCAGCTCTAAACTCTGGTGAGCCGTCAACTTCTTACGCGCGGGTTCACGCTTAACTTTGTAAGCACTTATTACATAACCGATTGCACAATTGTTTTATACAACACTAGCCACAATGTGGCGTATGGGCATGGTTTATTAATTTCGGCTTGGGAATAAGCTTATTCCGACGCCAAACCTTTCAACGTATTTTGATATATCATTTTACATACCTACCTACCTAGTAGGTATGTATACAGTTTCTCAACCTCCCCCCACGTGGACAATGCTTATGATTGAACGGGATCTAAATGAAGTTGCCTAGCGGATCTAATTGGTATATACCTAGTACCGAAGTACATGGGTCCTCGCCTAATCATGACGAAACTTAGGTATTCATGCATCTCCTCGCGAAACTTGGCTATCACGGGTAGCTACCGCGGAAAATGGCTTATGACGGCAACTTTGGCTATCGGCTTAGAAGCAAGGCTACCAATGAGAGCATGGATATATGTCAAGAACAAACGTCCTCATGCAATCACTTTCAAAATATGAGTTATCAACTCCTCGACAAGACGGCCAATACAAACAAAGCTCTACGAATCATTTCAATTCTACCTACATATGTATATATGTAGTGTAACTTGCCACCCGGTAGCGTCGATTCTTTTGCTTCGTTCTCGTTTTCATATGCGACGGGTAGGGCATCTACGTTCTCGTCTGTGACTGCGAACCACTACTAGGCCCTTACCTAGTAGGCATGTAGGTACCTAGTGTACGTCAAAAAACAAATTTATACAGCCTTCTGGGCTGGATACGTAGGTTCCTACCTATGCAATGCTGACTTGAGATATGATAGATGCCCATATACAGGTAGGTAGGATTTTCAAGGCTATATCAAAAGCTAGTAGTTTGCTGCTTAGTACTTTCAATCCTCTCCTTTACAAACAGCTTCTTTTCACTCTGTCGCCCTCCTCTTACAAAACACCTTGTATTGCAATATTTGCGATTTCTTTTCATATAGCTTCTGTACTTCTATTACCCCTTTATGAGGAGATAGTTATTGATTGATAGCTATAGTTCCAATTGTTACCAGGATGAACATGCTTCATAGCATTTACAACCATCTCGTGCTGCCTCCCCAGCTCCCGGGGAAACGAGATGAGTGTATTGAAGCAATCTCGCACGAGGTTACGAAGCGTATTCTCGGCGCATGCAATGGCGTTGGGAGTCTTGTAGACCGGCAATGGTCTCAAGCCTTCCAATCCCTTCGAGCCTCCCTAACCTCTTGTATTGATCTCAATACAGGACGTCTTGATAAGGCAACATTGCTGAAGCATTTCCGCCTGCTTGAGCCTGACCATATGCTCATCTTGCATGTGATCGAACAGAATGCCGCCCTAATAATTCGGCGCGAGGTTTGGTTAGTACTGTATGAACTACATACCCCTCTTTGAAGGCTAACGTTACTCTACAACCAGGGAGGACCAGGATCGCGTCATCTTTGAAGCTTTCGAAGTCTCGGCGACCTCTGAACAAGTTCTCGCCGCTGACCAGGAAATGCAGTGGGATTTTCCTGGACGTTCTGCTCAGGTTCCTGTTGATGTCTTTCTCGACCAAGCGTTCCAAGATACCCTCGCGGGATTTCTTGAGCAGGCCTGCATCGAATCACTTCATAGCCTTCGAGCTCAAGCACAAAAAGCAGGAGTTTCTGTTGCAGAGACTAGAGACACGACTAGTCCAGCGCTGATCACACAGATGCTCATTCCGCTTCTCGAAGCTATGGGAGATCACTTCGAGGCCCCGGTCCTTCGGAAAAGGGTTAGAGATGATGTTAATATTTTGGAAGGAGATCTACCTTGGCGACGGCTTCCATTTTGGTTGATACTTCGTGTCGCAACCCAGCGTCAGCTTTGCTTATTGTTGGGCGGCGAACAAGGTCGAATGGCCTACAAATTCATCATGTGCATGCTCTTTTCTGATCTGTTGAAAGAGTCTGCCGGGAGTCTACACCCAGAATTGACTGTCCTGCTACGCACTAAACTTTGCCGACGGATGGCGAAACTAGAAATCGAAAGGACCAAGACCGATCCTGCGGATGGGTCAATTTACGAGTTACTGTTTACACAAATTAGCCCTATGATCACGAGCACCATAGAGGACGTGACCGTCCAAATTGACACTGCGTGGGACTGCTTTAAAAAGGCAACAACACGAGTTGTCCCGCAGCTTCCAACGCGCGCAGCCGATGATTCTCTTCGGCTCTCTCTACCTAATAGCGGCGACTACCTCGATCACCTGCTGTGGTCTTCGGCGCCGCAGCGGGAGTCCTTCCCATCCC